CCCCACAGCCACGCAACAGGAGCAAAATATTCTTGGAGAGGGATTGCTCCAAGCAAATAAAAGTATTCCCTGCTCTGGCTGAGTTTAAAATCAATTTTAAAAGAATTTTAAAAGAATCGAAAAATAATTGAAAAATAATTTTAAAAAAAATTAAAAATAAATTTAAAATAATTGGAAAATAATTTTAAAATAATATAAAATAATTTTAAAATAATTTTAAAATAATTTAAAAATAGAAAATGTTGATTAAAAAATAAAACTATTTTTTTCTTTAATTCCCCAAGGTACAATCCAACATATACAGGGGAAAAAAACAACCATAAAGCTGTTGGATCCTTCCCACAGCAGCCCAGATCGTTGGGAGGGCAGCAGAAGGGCTKGTTTTAAATTCGTGGGAGGCGAATCGATGGGCTGGGCAGGATTCAGGTTCCTTCCCACCACTGTCACATTTAATTCCTGCCTTCGGAGAAACAGAAACAACCCCTCTGCCAGCGCCTCCCCTCGAGGAATTCCCTTCCCCGCTTCCCGTGGCCAGATGTCCCAAGGGTTTTTCCAGCCTGCTCCTTATCCAAATGTACTTATGTGGATATCAATGTGTCGATGACGTCGMTCTAGATGAGATTTTAATATCAAAACAAAGCGTTCCAGGTGAAGTCGGGCACGGAGGGAGCGCTGAGCGCTGCCTCACATCCCCGTGACGCAGGAATGCCGAGGGATGAGAGCCAGCTCAGCTCGGGTTCCCCAACCCCAATAACCCCCACATTCATTTCAATAACTTTTTTTTTTAACAATTTTTTACCATTTTCACTCCTTGAAATCAAACCTCTCTCCAGGACTCGACCACGACCATAAAAATTGCATTTTCTACAAATTTAAAGGGTGGGGGGGGAAGATAAACACGACCACGTGAGGCTCCATTCCCTGCCAAAAATCACATTGCAAAAATAAAATCTATAATCCACTCAGTCGAGGCACAGCCCCCCAAACTGGGGATATTCATATAAAGCAGGGTGGATTTTTTGAGCCAGGCATAAAGAGATATCAGCGTAAATTAAATCTCGATAATCGGAAGAAACTTGGGAATAGAAAACTTGGGAGCCAGCTGAACACAGAGCGAGGTAAAACAAATCAGTATTTATKTCTGGGCTGGTTCAGTGGCTTTTTTCTAATTTCAAAACTTGGGCGGAAAAGCAGGAGCACCCCAGCCCCGAGGGAGATTCTAAAGATGAATTCCTTGTTTACATCCCCTGCTCCACGGTAAAGGTCGAGCCCTGGCTCCGTACTATCGCCCCAAAACTCCCAATTTCTGCTTCCATCCCTCTTCTAAAGTCACCGGCAGCCCAACCTGAGGCTGCTGCAGGGATTCAGCTGMGGAACGCCACACCTGGGAATGTCGGGGGGGCTCCTTGGGATGGTTTTTTGGGAAGCTGCGAGCGTGTGATCCCTGCCGAAGACGAAATCCCACTCCGGCACACGTGATGCCGGGCACGAGCCGTCCCCCCCGCTCCGTAAGCCTCAATTACACAACAGCATTTCCAACCCCCCCGTCATTTCCAAATTAATACCCCGGCAGCAATCCCGGGCCAAATCCGTACCCCAGCTCAGGCCGAGCCTCCCCGCCCAGCGCAGCACAATCACCCGCCCGGAGCAGCCCACGGGGTGGCTTTTTTCCCCCCTTTTATCCCGACACATGACGGGAGAGGGGGATAAAGCTCGGGATGAGGCTACGCCACACGGTGCCGGGGTTTGTTTTCCCCACGGAACGCGTGCGCCCATCAGCCCGGCCTCGGGCACCTGATGGAAATGAGAGGGCGCGCTCGCCGCGATGCGTTCAGCACAAAACGCTTCGGCTTCGAGGGTTCTCCGGCTGGATMAAGGGGGGACGAGGTGTTTGGAGAGGGAAAATTGATTCATTCCCGGCTAAAAATAATACCCTTAACRGTGCGAGCGGCTGCACTGCTGGGAAAACCTCCGTCCGCGCCGCGGAAAGTGGGGGGAAAGGAGGTTTTTTTCTGTATTTTCCTGCTAAATAAGCGGCTGTTTACTCCCGGAGCGGTGGGCAGGGTGGGGTGGGGGGTATTACGGGGGTGCCCATCCGTGGGAACGCGGCCGTGGGCCGGGAGCTCCTTTCTCCCCCCCCCGCGCTGCGCTCCGGAGCGAAAGTAAAACCGACGGGGCTCCCCCGCCCCCCCCGTCCCCGCATCCGCGCTCCCGGAGCGCCCGGCGCGCCCCCCGTCCCGCTGGGCTGCAGGAAAGCATCGGGGGGAGCCGGGGGTGCCGGCGCGGGGTTACCTGAGCTTTTTGGGCACGGAATAATCCACTTCCATCACTTTGCCGTGCAGCTCCACTTTCCCTGCGGAGAGAGCGGGGCGCTCAGCATCCCCCCGGGATGGGGCAGGGCGGCGTCTCCCCCCCCGCCAGATCCCGTCCCATCCCGTCCC